TTAAGTAACTTGTCAATGGCCATGCTGCAATCTGGGGCTGGATTTGAATTCAGAACTTCCTGACTCCAAGTCCAGCACTCTATCCACTGGGCCACCTAACATGTACAGTCCGCTGGTCAACCCGAATGGGGATGAACCATGCTCAGATTCCAACTGTTTCCACCAAACAGCTCTCTGAGGACAGTCATTTGAGACAGCTATCCCCCTCCCCCCTCTGAAATGCCTACAAATCCAAGACCACAATCCTCCCTTTCTCCTTCTTCCTTTCCCCCCCCCCCACCAAATACACACAAGGAAAAAGAACCTAAACAAACGCCTATCTGTCATCTCTCTGCTCAGGTTCTTGTAAATACAGTAGGCTTCTATGCAGCAATGCAGCGTCCTGTGCTTTAAAGCAGTTTTAAGACATTTATAAACAATGTGTTCAGCATTAAGTAAATGTTAAACCAAGATTTATTATAAAGGACATAATTTTGTTTTTCCTGAGTTATCAGCCTGGGGCAGAGGGCTCAGGGCAGGTCACCCGATTTTGGGTGGCCGTCCCCTGCAGTGGGCACGCCCTTGGGAATCAGTGGGTGGCCTTCCAGGCATGTTTGTTTAAGTGGCTGTTTATTAAATCCCTTGCAGTATGGGAAAACGTGGACAAGGGACTGGGGCAGCTATTTACTTCTTTCATGCTTCCTCCTGAGGGTTGCTGTGTTTTCCATGGAGGGTTGTTGCTGTTTGGTGTTACTTTTGATTTTGTGGGGTAGGATTGGGTCAGTAAACATTTTCTTAAACTGAGTTGAAAATGAGTCAAAACACGTTCAAAATGATGATTTAAAAACAAGCCATCTTGGTTTATCATGTCAGAAAAGCCACAGATACGTTGCCTGTAGTTCAATGGACTAGGAATTGATGCGCATTCATTACAATTATGAGTAGCTTCTTTTAGAAAGCAGCTGTTGGTGTGAATTCAGACAGTTCTTTCAAATATTTACGAAGACTTTTGGTACCTCAGGAAAGGAGTATTTGGGTCTCATGAAGCTAATTCGCAATACGTTGTTGCTTTATAGCTATCTTTGTTCAGCGGGGGGATGTGTATCACATAACGAGCTGCTTCAGAGAAAACAAATCTAGAGACCATCAGGGTTAAATGTGTCAGCTAACTTTATGGCATCATATCACTTGTTTATGCCGTTACTTTCCCAACTATCTTCTTTTGCTCCCCATAGTATTAGATTAGTATGTGTATTCATCCTGAATGCCCAATTTCTTCTAATTTTGGAAATTAAGCAAGATGTGGCCTGGTTAGTACTGGGCATACTGGGAGCTGTAGGCTTAAAAGAGAAGTAATGGGGGCAGCTAGGGGGTACAGTGGAGAGAGGACCGGCTTTAGAGTCAGGAGGACCTGAGTTCAAATCCAGCCCCAGACATATGATACTTCTTAGCTGTGTGACCCGAGGCAAGTTACTTAACCTGGATTGCCTCACCAAATGAATGAATGAATGAATGAATGAATGAATGAACGAACAAATGAATGAAGAAATGAATAAATAAATAAGAGAGAGAGAGAAGCAGTGTAATATAACAAATAGATGCATAGAGTCAGAAAATGCTACTTTCGGGTCTTACTAATTGTGTACTTTTCAGTTCTTCAGGCAGCTCTCTAAGAGTTTATATATAGGGTTGCTTATCTGTATTGTGAAGGGAGTTCCCCACTTTTAGCAAAATCAAAGATCTAGACCTGCACCTTGCCCTCCCATCAAAAAAAACAAAAGAAAAACACCTATAAGCACTTGCCTTCAGGAAAACTTATTCAGAATTCCTTCAATGAATTGTGGATGCCTGGGAAAACCAAACTTAATTAGAATAAAAGAGGATAAGGTATGCCCAGTCTGATTCCTGTTAGACCAAGGGACCACGAGCCAATATGTATTGCTATTGCTTATACCTTCCTAAACTGCCTTTTAAATGTTATTTTCATTTTTTATTTTTTGCTTTTACCCAGCAGTTGTTGGACATGTTTTTGTTAAAGGAGTTATTTCTCTGAACCCTTGGTCTCTATCGCATTAGATAAGGAACCATGATCTGGACAGCATCTATGTTTAATAGGATGAAACTTCCTTGGCTGCCATGAAATTTGAGTCATCAGCATGGCTTGGTGGATAAAGAACCAGCCTTGCAATCCACAAGACTTGAGTTCCAGTCACATGCTGGCTGTGGCACTCAACTCTCGCCTGTGGCTCCAAGAAGCTGTAGCATGTCCAGTGGCCACAACTGGTTTAACCGTCTTGGCAGACAAACTAAATCAGGTTCAGAGGAACCAGTGGTCCTCAAACCCATCAATGAGTTAGAAGGGTGTCTACCCCACTTATGTGAAGACTTCCCCTGGAGAAATGGGTAGATGAAAACAATTTGTTCCAATGGCCATAAAGGCAGCTGAAGCAGGCACTGTGGAGCACTTAGAGTTTTGTCAGACACCAAGGTCACTCACTGCATCCTGGACCACCACCAGGTGTCTTGGCTTTTGTCTTAGGACTTCCATGACTCTGGAAAAGAAAGTGAGGCTGATGACTCCAATTCACACGTGAGTCAAGACATCACCCCGTGATGTCATTGGTCCTCTTCAAAAAACGAAGGACAAAACCATCCTCTCAGTTCCTCAGGCTTGAAATTTCCTCACTATCTCTCAACCCCCATATCTAATCTATTGCCAAGCCCTGTGGATTTCACCTTTGCAACATCTCTCAAATATGCCCCCCCTCTCTCCTCTGCTATTTTCACCACTCTGGTGCAAACCTCTCATCACCTCACATCTGAATTATTGCAACAGCCTGCTGGTAGGTCTGCCTGTCTTAAATCTTCCCCCATTCCATTCCATCCTCCATTTAGCCACTAAAGTTATTTTCCTAAAGCATATTCCCCCCCCAACTCAATAAATTCCAGTGACTCCCTATTGCTTCCAAGAGCAAATACAAAATGCTGTGATTCAAAGCCCTTCATAACCTAGCCCCTTCCTATCTTTCCAGTCTTCTTACACCTTATTAATTATACACACACACACACACACACACACACACACACACACACTCATATATAATTTGCATATTGTCTCCCCCATTAGGTTATAAACTCCTTGAGGGCAGGGACTATCTTTTGTCTTTTCTCACATCTCCAACACTTAGGGAAGTGCCTGACACATAATAGTAAATGTTTACTGATTGATTGAATTGAACAAAGAAATTAAATTGGAGAAGAGTAACAGAATAGGTATCAAAAGAGAGAGTATCAAGTCAGGCAAAGATCACCAGACTTGGAGTCTGACCACTTGGATTCAAGCCAATAGTTTTGCTACCTACCAGATGTGCAACCTTGATCAAGTCCTTTTGCCTTAGTTTCTGTATAGGGAAAATGACAGTATTGTAATAACTAAATCTCCATAATTCTGAAATCTAATTCTGATATCCTGTGATTCTCAGCTTGGATAAAATGGTAAAATCTCTGTCTCCTTATTTGGAGACTTTCAAAACACCACTTTCTAGCATCATAACTATCATTAATCATATGAAATTCAACCATCTTTTTGTATCACAAAGAATTCCATTTATAGATATTTTCCACACAATTTGAAGTTTAAGAAAGGAAAAATATTAGTGATTATTCCCAAATATGCTTGAACAAGTAGTTAATACTATTTTAAAACTTTTATTTGATCTTTATCTTTTTTTGGAATATCTTTATGTAATGCATCTAATTGCAAACCATCCCTGCTCCACCCCACTTCCCCGCCCCCCTCCCCCACTCAGCATCTCCAGGGGACTATGTGTGCCCTGAGCTCAACTATGCAAATGTTCCTGGGATGTCAGAGCCCCTCAAGGCAGGTAGAAGGGGGAGGAGGTTTGTGATTACCCCAATTAAATGTCCATTACTTAGAGACTACATTAGAATTATAGAATCTCAGTATTGGAAAGAATGGATTTTCTTTACAACATCCCTGACACATAGTTATCAAACCCCTGCTTATTCATTTCTAGTGATGGTCCTTCAGTCCCTTATAGGGCAGCCTATTCCATTTTTCACCATTTCGAATCCTCATAAAATTCTTTATGAGAAGATAAGATGTGTCTCCTGGGGATCTCCGCTCATTGACTCAGCCCTCTGAAATTACACAGAACAAAACAAATCTCTCTTTCATATGTGTGAAGGTTTTCATATGTCTGAAAACAGCTATTATGTCCTGCCTACATCTTCTATTCTCTAGGTTAAATATATCCAGTTGCTTCAACCCTTCTTCAAGGCAATACGTTCTATTATTTATCCAATACATTGTATTATTTGTTAGTCTAGCACTGGGCTCTTGTAGGTCAGGAACTCTGAGTTCTAGCCAGAGCTAGCTCTGATAATAATCTGTTTGGGGAAAGCTCACTGAACCTCACCATGTTCTTGTTTCTTGTTCATACAATAAACTGTTCTAATGGTCCCTGGCAAGACACAGATTTGGGAAGATTGACAGATGAGTTACCTACCAGAAAACCACAATGATGAAGTAATTTAGAGAGCTGACCAGTGAGTCAATGCAGTATATTGGAAGGAAAGTTGGATTTGGGAATCAGGTGACATTAGCTCGAAGCCTGGCTCTGCTGCTAAGTCCCTATGTGATTTGGGACAAGTTTCTTAACCTCTTTGGTTAACCTTGACTCATTTGTAAAATGAAGGCTTTGGTCTCTAAGATCCTTCTAGCACTTAGCTAAGTTCTATGATTCTGTGGGTCAGTGTATGGCCCTGAGAAGTCCATGGTTCAGGAGGTCCTTAAGAAAGTTTTGAGTAAAGGGGTAAGCATGAATGGAGGAGAGGATGGTTCTTGGTGGTCTATGCTGTGATCTAAACAAGGGTAGGAGTTGAAGCCCAAGAGCTTCTGGGTCTCCGTGGGGCCTTCATGAAAACCAAGAATTGAACTCTGTGACATCACAATATCCAGAGCACGGCTGTTTCTCTACTCATGAGAAGAGTGAGGGTTAGGTGTTTCAGTTATTAGTAGACTACAGGTGTGACTCTACCAGAGGAAGTTCGAAGGCACTAGCCAGCCATGCCATCCAACAGGGTGAGTGATTTCTACTAAGTCCAGAACAGAAATGACAGGCATTTAAAGGAAGAGGAGGAAAAGAGTTAAACATTCAAATAATTCTATTAAGGCTGAGCAGCTAGTAGAATCATAAGACCTTATTCAAGTAGCAATCAAGATGCTTAAATATGACATAAAGTCTTCAGAATAACTGGAAAAAAAGGACAGGCCCATGAACCTACATGGAACTATCCACATAAGGCTTTGGAAGGAGAGACCTAAGAATATGATTGAGTTGTCTCCCCAAAGTAGGCCAAACAAATTCACTTGGCAGTCTGGCTAGTAAGCAGAATTTCCATTAGGTAGAAGCCCCTCTAGGTGGTAAAATATAAAATTTTGGTTAGATGACTGGAAACATGCAAAAAGTACATGTAACTCTACAGGTCACTATTTACATAGCACTTTCAAGTTTACAGAGTACAGCCTATAGATCATCTCACTTGATCCTCACAAAAGCCCCATAAACCAGGGGCTATGCCCATTTTACAGATGAGGAAACTGAGACTTAGAGAAGTTCAATGATTTTGCCTTGGGTCATACAGTTAATAAGTGCCAGAGGTAGGTTTCAAGCACAGGTGTTTCTGAGTCCAAGTACAATGCTCTCATCTCGACAACACACTGTCTCTCTGATGCTGAGGTAGTCCTACCTTGGTGCTCAAAAGTCACTCTTCTCAGGAGAGTGTGCTTGTGTGTGCTTGTGTGTGTGTGTGTGTGTGTGTGTGTGTGTGTGTGTGTGTGTTTATAGGTCCTTCCCAGAATGGCTGGAAAGCATAAGATGAGGGAAAAAAGGAAAAAAGAAAAGCAATTATTTAAATGAAGTATAATATAAGAAGGTAGCCTGAGAGACAAAAAACAAAACATACGAAGGTAGAAGAACAAACCTGAATGCATATTAACTGCAAAGAATACTTCTAATGATTTCATTTAGAAATGCCAAGGTTAAAAAGCCAAAGGTCACCCCTAGAAACTTCAGGAGAGAAGAGCTTAATTGTTAGCTTGGAAGTTAACAAGAACGGGCATTTAGCTGGAACCATCCAGAGTTTCTCCTTTAAGAAATTCCTGCCAATGAAATCATCACTCAGGATGCACACAATTCTGTTTTCTTACCCTGCCTTGGGGTTTTGGCTTCCAAAGTATTTGTTTCTTCCTGGAGTCTTGTGGCACTGAAAGGATCCGAGTGACGGCAAAGGGCTGTTCTGTTTACCAAGCAGGGAGGGAATGCTTCTCCTGTGCCAGGTCCTGACTCATCTCTGTTTGGAATCCTTGAGGGTTAAGGTGGACAGCAGTTCTGATGTGCTCAGGCCCCGGGAGAAGGACTGTCAGGCTGCTCCATCAGATTGCTCCAAGGATTAGCTTTTATTGTAATGTTCAATCCCTGGAGCACAGACAGCTCCCAACCAAAGTTTCTGACAGGTAGATTACTTAGCCCCCCCTACACCCCAAGGGCAAAAGGTGCCTGAAAAAAAAAAAGGTCGAATTTCCATCTCAGAAGCAAAATTTTAAAGTCTCTGGCCTTAAGCATGCTGCAAACAAATATATCAAGGTAATAAGGCCGATACTTTCAAAGCAGGTAAATATATCCAGAGGGCTAGATAAAAATAAGATGCATGTGTATGTTAGCTTTATAGCCTACATTCAACTTTCATTCAAATAATACAGCACTATTTTCACAGCTATCTATTCCATCTAGGTCTCCTTTCCACAGTCCCTGGAAATAAGAATCTCATTTAAAAAACAAACAAAAAAAACCTTTTCAGAATGAGTTATTTTAAATATAATGATTGAATTATTGAGCTGACCTCAGATGAGATTCATAAGACACTCCTAATGGAGTGTTTATGTTTATGGACTATATGAATTTCTTTTACCTGTTGTGTTAACCACATACCACAGAATTTGAAGCCTCGAAGGTAACTAGGAAATCTCTAAGTTCCTTCATTTACCTTCTCTTCATTTGAAGATGAGGAAGCTGAGGCCTAGAGAGTTTTAGTAGCTTGCCCTGGGTCACACAAATAGCTAGATGAAGCAAGAGCCCAAGACCCCTGACTCCAAAGGAATCAACGATGCTTTCACTACCCCACAGGGAGTATTCATTATGGAATGAATATACTGATTCATATTTGGTCTAGTGTGGTACTTTCAATCCCAAGGGGATTTAGATTTAAGATAAAGGAGATTCACTTATCATCTATGAAGCTGATAAATAGCAAATACAGGTACTCTATGTAGATCATAAGATCACAGATTTATGAGCTATAGAAGGAACCTTAGAGTCACTAAGCCCAATCCCCAAGCACAAAGAGGCAGAGTGCCAACTGGTTAGCTATATGGTACAATGGATAGAATGCTGGGCCTGGAGTCAGGAAGATTCAATCTGGCCTCAGATACTTACTAGCTGTGTGACCCTGGGCAAGTCACTTAACCCTGTTTGCCTCAGTTTCCTCATTTATAAAATGGGCTGGAGAAGGAAATGACAAACCACTCTAGTATCTTTGCCCAAAAGACCCCAAATGGGGTCAAAAAGAATGGACATAACTGAAATTACTCAACAACAAAAACAACAACAAAAATTCTGTAGCTGAGGTGAAATCTGAACTCTAATCTGCTTGACTCCCAAGTGCAGTTACCTAGTATCAAGACCATACTGCCCATTGGGCAGGTTTTAAAATCTATCTAAAAGAAGCTCTTCTACTCAAAATAACCTGTTTGTTTTCAAGAACAAAGAGACTGTGGACAAGTCACTTGACTTCTATGTCTCAGTTTCTTTATCTGTAAAATAAGGGCACTGGACTAGATGAAAGGAAGTAAACAAGCATTTATTAAGCAATTATAGTGTGCCAGGTATTGGGCTAAACACTTTGCAAATAACTCATTTGATCCTGACAAAAACTCTGGGAGGTAGGTACTATCATTACCCCTATTTTTAGAGTTGAAGAAACTGAGGCAAACAGGAGTTAACTGACTTGCTCAAGGTCACCCAGTTTGTAAGTGTCTAAAGCAGAATTTGAACTCAGGTCTCCCGGACTCCAGGCCCAGAAATCTATCTAGTATGTTAGCCAGCTGCGATAAATCTCTTGCTGGCTTAGGATTCTATGGTTCTGGCCATGATACTGATCTAGGTAGAAGAAGTGCCTCTTAAACCATTAATTATGATAAAAAAAAATAATAATGATACTCAAATGGATCTGTAATCTTATCAGTTTGGAAGCCTTCTCCAATAATGCAATTTGCAGTCCAGACATCCATATCTTTCAATAATTTCACCATGAAGGGTTCACTCAACATGTTAGAGGCCTTCCTCAACTTCTTCTGAGATTGCAAGGATACTAGCAGAACATTCTAGCTCTCCCTCTGTCATCCTTTACCTTTTCCACATGACCAACCCATCTTCTCTTCCTATCTTATAATTCCATGGTAACATCTTTTACTTCTGTTCTTCCACAAAATTGTTCATTGATTATGTATTGTGATCAGGTCACACCTGCCATGTGCCTCTCCACTGCCCTTTCTATGTGATATTCTTTTTAAATTCTTTGGAGACTCCTGTATTCCAAGTCTCACTGACATGCAGTAACAGTGATAGGGCCTTTGCTTTCATGGGAATCATGGAGTCATTAAAGGAGCCTTGCAATTTTCCAAAGATGATCCAGCCTGCTCTCTTCCTTCTGCTCAGCTCTGGACCAAATTTATAATCTGCCTGTATTGTCCAAGTAGACTAAATTCCAGGAGCTGTGTAATTAGTAAATATGAATATAAAAAAAAAATACCAAGAAACAAACCCTAGATCTAAGCAAATAATTCATTTAGTGGGATGGACAAGTTCTAGGACTGACTTTTAAAAATAATGGCAATTAATAGATCTTCTGGGTTCTCAGGATCAAGAACAATGCTGCCCCAGAATGGGCAGAATAATAATGGCATATGGCATTTATACAAAACTTTTAAGGCAACTCTGTAAGACTATAAGTTACAAAGAAAATGCTATTACGTATTTATAGAAGAAATTTCTCACTGGAAGCTCCCTTCACCAATAAAATCACAGATCCAGTCCAAAAGAAAAAAAAAAGGTATGCACAGCACTTTACATACATCATCATCTCATTTGAGCCTCTTAACAACAGTATAGAGTAGTACTATACATTATAGGTATTGTTACTTCTGTTTTACAGATGAGGAAACTGAGATTCAGGGAAATTAAATGTTAAATAACAGGAAGAATTTGAATCTGAGTTTTTAGGACCCCCTGCTCTATCCATTGTGACATTCTGCCTCTCAGTAGCTAATATTCACTCAAAAAGTCTCTCTCCCTTGCCATAAAGGTACAGAAAATGATCCTTTATGATCTTTCAATCATTAAACTTTCAATAGAGTTAAATATTATTTGTGCACATATACACATGTACACATATATGTATGATATATGAGTATGAATGAACATATGCTCACATTTTACTAGGCAGGTGTGAGGCTATTACACCCATCCACAGCAAGTGACCTACCCATATTACCTAACATGCCTCTTTCATGCTGCTACCTTCACTAACTCCTCCCTGCAATGATCTCTTTCTTGTTTTGAATTTCCTCAGTAGCATCTTACGCATGGCTTTAGAAATGTTCCCTAGGATGACTCCATCATACATAAAAATCATAGCATCATACATTTTCAGAGCTAAAAGAAAACCTTTTCCTCATTCTGATGAAGTTCAAAGAGGTTAAATCTCAGGTCACTTTGGGAGCTCTTGGCAGAGCTGAGATTAGAACTCCTGTCTCCTAATCCAGGGCTCCTTCCACTTTGCCATGCTGCTTCCCGAGAGCTTTGGAGTGTATTTCCTTTTTTGTTTGTTTGTTTGTTTGTTTGTTTTACTTTTTTGGTGAGGCAATTGGGTTCAGTGACTTCCCCAGGGTCACACAGCTACTAAGTGTTAAGTGTCTGAGGCTGGATTTGAGCTCAGGTCCTCCTGACTCCAAGGCTGGAGCTCTATCTTTGTGCCACCTAGCTGCCCCTGGGGCATATTTCCAAAACTTCTCTGAAGCTTTCTGATAAGGCTTTCCAAACTACTGATTGCTATGTAAAGGGAAAGGCAGTCTCTTCAAGTATATCTTGTTTCCAGGACTAGTTTATAAGCTGCTACAAAACAGGTACTGTGTCTTCCCCAGCTATTACCCACATTGCTCAACACAATCAGTGTTTAATTAATGCTCATTAAATCAGAATGAGTGCAAGCTAGCATGAGCCCAGAGGTTGAATGACTGAAGAAAATCAGGCTATCCTTATCTGTGCCATTTCAAGCTAATAGAATCACAGAACCTCAGCAATGGAAGAGACCATCCAACTTGACCAGGAATCTTCTTGACGACATTCTTGTCAAGTGGTCGTCTGCTTGATGACCCCCAGTGAATGGAACTCACTACTCCCTAAGATAGCCCATTTCATTTTTGTTTAATTCTAATTAATCGTATGTTGACTTTAAGACTATCTTTCTGCAGCTTCCTTCCATTGCTTCCAGTTCTGCCTTGTGGGGCCAACTAGAAAACAAAACAAAACAAAACCCCAAACCAAAAAACACTAGTCCGTCTTGTACATGACAGCCCTTTAAATATTTTAAGATAGTCAGAAGGATCACATTTTCCATCCCTTTTCTTGCACCTACCAGTGATTGAGGTGAACATTTTGCCAGTTGATAGTTTTTTTTTAACCTACTACAAGGCTTTGTAACATATATTGTATGATGTATACATTGCATGCAACAGAAGGTACTTCCATATGTTTTTGGTTTTCCAGACAGATCCTATTTGGAAAAAAAAAGTTTTTTTCAAAGGTTGCCAAGAAGTAAGAACCCTCACTTACGGCACACAGTTTAAACACACTGTTGTAATATTTTTCAGCTTTAGCATTCATTTCAAAAGTTGTGTAATCGGTTGAGCAATTTCTTCACATTCTACCGTATTAAACTGTTGGAATGATTGCGAAAATGGACAAAAGATGGGATTTATTTTCAGACTCTCTAGTTGAGGTTGAGAACTTTCAAATCCCTCTCTCCCTCAGGCCAAAGGAGTTTTTAAAAGTTTCCCTTCAGCTGGGAAGAAGCAGATCTTGTACAAAACAGCCTTGGAGAGAAAGAAAGAACCCTCCACCCCATTCCTACCCAAACTACCTTCCCAGATGCCCTGAGGTTAT